GCCGAAATGGTACAAGAGAACAAGTGAGAGACTGATAAGGCTGTCCGAGATGTTGGTCCCTGTTTCCGAAGGATGCGCATCAAGGTCCTCATAACTCCGTATGCTTTTTATCTCTTTGTTGGCCGCCCACTCACGTCTGGATCCAATGGCCCAGGAAAATAGGGGACGATGAACCCGCGACTTTAATATTGTTCTCCACCGTCTTTCAGTGAAGCAGACGCCTGCGAGGCCCGATGAGGAAAGGTTGGGCTCTTTCGTCCCGTCTGTCGCCGGTGCCACCCATGTCTGTGCCTGTGCTCGTGCCTGCAGTGCAACAGTTCCGCGCTTGCCTTGCCCTGCCTCGTGCCTCCGATCCAACAAACCCTGCACCTTGTTTTTGGCGCCTTGCCCTGCCATCTCCTGCCTCTGTGCCTCTTCTGCTGTGGGTGTCGTGTGTGTTGCCCCATCTCCAACACCCCAGAAGTGCGTCACGCAACCGGCGGGCACCCACGGGCAGGCAGTGGCTTGTCTTCAGGGCACCAAGACAGCGGAGACGTGCCTGGATCAGGTACCTGCCTAGGCCACCACCCCCAAACAGAATCCCTCAGCGGGTCCCAATCGCACGCAAATGTCAAGCCTGCGTGGCCAATCAGGCCATTTCACCAGACTAGACCTTGCGTGGCTTAGCCTCCTTTCCCCTTCATCGAACCATCACCATATCGACATCACCATTGCCTGTGCTCAGGTACGGTACAGTAGATCTGGTGGGTCAACACGCAAGACCAAGCTTGCCCCTGCACAGCCACACGATGGTCCCCGTTACCGTTGTAATCCCCTGATGCCAATCTCAACACGCAAGTCTCATGTGATTGATGGACATGGTGATTAGGTGCTCTTTTGGAGTCTTACGGCCTAGCAACGAGACAACCACGCCGCCCCAGCCATCGTCAACGTCACCTTCAGCTCCTGACTGTCATTGCTAACCCCCTGGCCATGGTCGGCCGCGTCATATCAGTCGTACTTCTCCGTGGCTAAACGAACAGTCGCCTCTCCTCCAGCCCCTGCGCTCGCGCATCTCTTGATAACCTCCAATGAGGAGGGCCAGCAGCAGTATTAATGGTGAGAAAACAAGTGCTCTCTGTATTGCCAATCGAGGTGGGAATCATGTACTGTACAACGCCCATACGCCGGCGCCCTCGGCCATCCCATGCTCACGACCTCGATGGGACAGTCTCGCCGTGATTGTGAGGTCCTCGCCCGTTCCCTTTGTCCGCTGCCCGGGACACTTCTTTCTGTTCCTGCTCTCCGCCTCCTTGATGAGTTGCGTGTTCCACGCGTACCTCGACCGTGATCGGTTTATGATTCGACTGAAGTCGCGTATCCCGAGTCCGAACCTGGCCCTTGTAGGTGTTCGTCCCGCGCCGTCTTCGTCTGCCCAGAGGCTGCTTCCTTGCCGTCGCTCTCCTTCTCCTTCTCCTTCTCCTTCTCCTTCTCCTTCTCCTTCTCCTTCTCCTTCTCCTTCTCCTTCTCCTTCTCCTTCTCCTTCTCCTTCTCCTTCTCCTTCTCCTTCTCCTCTTGTGCTCGCCTCTCCTCGGCCGCTTTGATCTCCTTCTCCTTCTTCTGCTTTCGGGTGTCTATCACCCACTGAGCTGCATGCTCGATCGCCGCGTCTGGACTTCTCTTGTGCCTCATGAGAAACCCCTGAATCTCCGCTGGACTGAACTCGTGAGCCGGGATACGTGTCACAAACTCGTGCGACAGAGCTTCGACGTGTGCTACAGTCTTGGCCACCCGCGCCGCCGCAGCCTCAGCCGCAGCCTTCTCGGCGTCGGCATCAAGTCCCGGCGCGTCGCGGTCCGCCCCGTCGTGGCCGTCTCCGTCGTCGCCCTCAAGCGGAGCGTAGATGGCGCGGAAAATGGCACCGATAATCTCGGCGTCAGCCTGTGAAAACTTGACAATCATGTCGACCCGGCCAGGTCGAATCAACGCCTTGTCGAGCTTCTCTACGTGGTTGGTCGTCATGATGAGGACGCGCCCTTCCTGGCTGGCGACGCCGTCCAGGATGTTCAGCAGGCCTGACAAGGAGAGCCTCGATGAGCTGCTGGTGGCAGCGGCGCTGAGGATTCCTGTGGTCAGCTGGCCGGGCACCATGGCGTTGGCAGAAGCATCGCTCTTGTCGGCCTCGCCGGAGAGCACATCGCTGACCTCCCGCGTATGTGTTAGACCGGCAGTGTCAATGTCCTCCAGAAGAACAACACACCGACGAGGGAGGTCGGAAAATAGGGTGGCGAGCGTTTCCTCGTTGGCGACAATGGAGCTCAAGCTGACAATGTAGATCCGCAGCTTGAAGTAGCCGGCCAGCGCGAGTGCGAGCGAGCTCTTGCCGCAACCGGGAGGCCCCTCGTACAGGTAGCCACGACGCCAGGGAATGCCACGATTGGAATACCAGTTCCGAGTAGCGGGTGACAGGTAGTCGGACACATCATCGATGAGCTCCTTCTTCGTCTTTTCGTTGAGGATGACGGTCGAGAAGGGCCGCGACGTCCGGGCCATGCACCTCTGCCAGGTGGGGTCGGTGGAACCCGCACGAATGCCCCCGCGGTAGATCATGGTCTTCTTGGTATCCTTCTTGAGATATTCCAGGCGGGCCTCGAGGAGAAGCTGCTTCAGGATCCAAGGCGAGCGTCCAAAGCAGGAGATGCTGATCTCCTCCCTCTCGCTGACGGTCAAGTAGGACCCTTGTTGTTGGTTCTGGCTCCTCTTGAAACGGAGGAGGCGGCCCTTGTACCAGAAGATGTGGTTACCAAAGCTTGGCGTGTAAGCCAGACCCTTCTTCTTGTGTCCGACCTCGTTGGCGGCCGTGGCTGTAGAGTCGTCTTCATCGTCGTCGTCTTCATCCTCGTCGTAGGACCAGCGCATAAGAAACCAGGCTCTCGAGTTGAGGTTTGTGTTGGCAATGAAGCGCCGGGACTTCTTTGCGAAGCGCTGTGTGGCAACCCAGGCCATGAGAATGTTCTGGGTGGGAGTCAGAGACCAGTGGAGGTTACGGTTGTGAGTTGGCCGGGTTACTCACATAAATCTCATCGTCGGTTCGCACGTCGACAGAGGACATGAGATGGGATTCGATCAGGCCCCAGACATAGTCGCTCAAATATTGCCAGGCAAAGGTGGCACCACCACACAGGATGATCAGGGGGATGTAGACATTGAGATCGATGCCAAAATATTTTTGACAGGCACTTGTCAGGATGCTGAAGCCGGGGAAGAAGAAGTCCAGAATGGCCTGTGATGGCTGCGCTTGCGGAGCATCAAAGGACGAAGCCTCTGTTGCTGCCGTCGTGCAAGAGGAGTGTGACAGCGTATCCATACCGGCAAAAGGTGTCTTAGGGAAACAACTGGAGATGGTGTGTGTACGTATAGGCCGTTCTCATTTGTTTCCTCTTCCTGTGCGACAACGACAATGAAGGGAGAGCAGGAGGATGAGAGAGGATGTCTATACCGGACATGGACAATAACGATGGACCAGCGATGCCCTATATGTACCTAGGTCGGTATCTCCCTACGCTGTGCTCTCCAGGCTGACGGCCCCCCACCAGCAAATTGGATGATCATTTGGCCTCCCCCCAACTATGACTGCAGGCCGAGCTGGATTGATGGATGAGGCCTCACTCGAGGTGCGGAACACGTGTGGAGTCGCGCTGCTGACACGTTGGGTCGAAGACGGCGCCCAACCAGAAACCGTCACCGAGCTCTGTGTATGCGCGTGAGACACGATGCTTGTGTCGCAACGCCGCCTACCATAGTTGGTGCACTCGATGAATCCACGCTGTTCGTGACAAAAACGCAGTGACAGGAAATAGACTGATTGGTCGTGGTCAGGTAGCTAGCACGATCGTTGCTGTCGACTCGCACGCCACCCGTTCATTCAAGTGAGCAGGAGGGAGCCTGGAGCATGGCATCGTTGAGACCTGGAGGGGGTTAGCGTGCTGAGATGCCTGGAACTTTGTGATGGCTCGTAGGCAACCACATGCGTGTTTTCCTGCACATGGCGAACCGCGTTGCGGGCCAGGGCAGGAGACCACATGTACCAGACATGAGAGTACCTAGGTAGAAGGCAGGGAAGGGGGCAAAAGTCGGGACAAAAAAGGTCACTCGGCAAGGAACCAGATGCCATCGGGTGGACTTGTGGTGCTGTCACCACATTCGGCCATGCACTTGTGGAACACAGGGCGGCCTTATGCCTTGGTGGTATTGGTGGCGGGCATGGCCAGATTGGTCTGGAACTGCCGATCCACACAACGCGGGTCTCAGGGCTGAAGAGGAGCTCCAATGACGTCGAGGCTGGGGAACACTGCCTACCGGTGACTCCTTTGGGTCGAGGCCTCTCCAAGTAGACCTCGACACCAACGGGCCCTTTTACGAGCCCTTGTGAACAATAGAAACGCTCACCGCACTGCTGGACGTGAGAACGAATTGCCTCCTATGCTTCCGTCAACGGAGGCATCGTATGACGTTTCTTGTGTGCAGTGGCTCGTAGGTGACGTAGGCGGGGACTTGGCGTGGCACTGGTATTTCGCTTTTGGCTGATTAGTCTCCTCACAGGCTCAGGATTATAAGGCACTTGTAGTCGAGCAAACAGACTGTGCAAGAAAAGAGTCAATTAGACCAATAAACTGTTTGTACAATGCCACACAAAATCGTAAACCACATCGCTGGCCCAGGTAAATAGCTCCCTAAGTGGCCGTGTCCCTTCAATGCCGAGGTCCTGTTTGCCCTCTTCGGCTTGAGTGGTATTCTCAGCCTTGGCGGCCGTAAGTTTGCGCCAGCTTGAACCTCCCTTATCCACCTAGAAACCCCTCCGGCAGGGCATCAAATACAACCACAAACCAGCCAATGTCTGGCAAGTCTCATCATGACCTCCCTCAAAAGTAAGAATGACATTTGGGGGAGGCAGAAAGGTAAAGAGCGTTGGGGGTCGTTCAGCTCGCAACGACCCTGTGGTGCCGTTCCTCGAGATGCTCTCAGTCGCTCCAGTCTTCATACTTTCGATCCCCACCTCCGCCGTTGCCCACATTGAAGAAGGCGGGTGCTGCTGCTGGTGCATTGGGAGGCGGCGGTGGTCCGAGATCGAAGAATGCCGGGGTCGGCCCCGAAGGCATTGGGTCCTGCGACGCATTCAGGTCGAAGAAGCCGTCATTGGCACCACTTGCCATGGGCATGGGCATGTAGTTCACGGGGCTCGGCTGCCGTGGCACGTATGTGTGAGGCATTGGTGGAGGCGGCGGCGGCGGCGGGGTGAACCGAGGCATGGCCCGTACAGGAGGGGGCGGCATCTTAGAGTACGAGGACGGTTGTCGTCCTCCCGAGCTTCGGCTGCTCCTCCCGCTCCCGCTGCTTCGCTTGGAGGCGGCCCGCACGGAGATGCTGTCGTCTTCAAAGTTGGGCCTCACCCAAGAGTAGTGAACGTCGTACCTGTCGACGTAGAGCGGCATGTTGTTGCCATAGTCGTAGCCTTCTTCTACGTAGTCGGTTCTCTTCTTCTGGACAGCCAATTGCCTAAATGGATGCGCCCCGCAGGTGTATTTCATAAAGCTGAGGGCTAGGTTGTTGTCTGATCGGATTGGGGCCACCGTGATGACGGATGACCTGGACGTTTTGGAAGAAGATGACCTGCTGGAAGAGTGACGAGCCGTGCTCGCATAGCTCGAGGAGCCAGATGAGCTCGAGGAGCTCGAGGAGGTGGAGGAGGACCGTCGCGACATAATGGGGGCGAGAACAGACCCAATCGAGAACGTATGAGGCGGAGCTGTGCCGTTGTTCGACGAGACAATACTAGACTTCTTCGATGAGCAGCAGTGTGTGACGATGGACAGAGTGAGGCGAGCGATCACGAAGGGTCTTTTTGTGAGGCAAGGGAACTGGACAAGGCTACGACGGGAAAAGAGTTGAAAAGTGAAGCTCGTTGATGATGCACATTGCCACACCGAGGACAAGAGCAAGACAAGAATGTCAGGGTCACGGACGGCGATCCCAGGCCTACATATACTGTCTGACCCCAAAGGCAAACGCCCCTGGATCCGAGAGCGAGGACACACAGACACTGATAACTGCCCCCCCCCC